ATTATGGTATTACACTGTATTCTTGGTCTACTGTAAGTCAAAATGGGTGATAATTTGGGATCCTTTATGGCAAGCCACCTCTCTGTGACAGTTACTGTCTCTCTAGAAAGGAAGTAGTAAAATACCTAAGCAATTCTCAAAAATACTTTGAAATAAACCTTCAAAAAGGCAGGCTAGGCTGGTTTTCTATTATTTTCTGTAACTGCTGACTTGAAGTAATGACATTTTTCTTCAATGATTGATTTTAACTAAAAGCAAATAATCAGTCATGAAAGAAACTAATTTTTTTTCTTACTAAATCCATAATTTCTTTACTTACCTATCCCAATTGTTCTTTACTTTCATAACTGAAGTACTTGTGCATACTGCCAGCTTTTCATGACCAGAAGCTAGAACAGATTAACTTCCAGATATCTCTTTTAAGCAACATCACTAACCTGAGAAGACGAATTGCCTGTAATATTCCAAGTCCTACAAATACTGATATAACAGAGATAAGAACCACAACTTGCTATGCTGCAGCGCAGAACAGTGAAACAAAACACTTTAAAATTCAGTTGAAGAGTTTAAACTAATTTTCATTTCTCTGCAATCAGCTTCAGCCAAAGTGCTAGCAGGCTGCCCACCCCAGAGGTGGGGAAGATTAAGTGCTGCAGGCACAGGGCTCAGGCAACAGAGAAGTAGCTGCAGCTGAAAACTGATCCGCAAAGGGATCACATCTGACAGCTTTACACATTAAAACAAAACAAAAACGGGGAAACAACACTGTCCAAAAAAGGTTGCCAAGGATCATCCATCTGCAAGGGGGCCACAGACACAAGTTACAGATAAAACAGTCTGTACAATCTGATAAAAAAACCAAGTAACTTACCCAGGGCACAAGGGGGATGATTGTCCAAATGTCACAAAAATAAAAACCTGTTCATTCAGGTTTAGCTTCACATCTGCTAGTGTCTTGTCCTACAGCACTGCAATCTATTGTTTAATTCTAGGTTAAAATGAAGTAATCTAAATATGCAGGCTGTTATATAAAAAGGCCAGGGGATGAAATTACACCAGTTTCTAATAAGGCCCTTTGAAACCCTAAACTAGCAAGTTAGCAGCCAAATTGTTCTTCTACTAATACAGACTGAACAGACAGTGATGACTAAAAGAGACAAATAAAGAGTGTAAACCTGAAGTTATCAAAATCCTAAGTGTCCCTGCTATACCAAAGCACACCAGAGGACTATTTAGCTGCTAAAAATCATCGTTTTATTTACCATCTCCAAGACCAGTCTTGAAAAACTTTTGTCTCCCTACTGCTAGTCTCTTCATAAGCACAAGATCAGTAAAATTTCCTTCTCTTCCATTTCAAAATCAATAGAACTTTTAACATAGCTTCATCTGTCCATGTAAGACAAATTTACATGTCTTTAAGTACTCTTTCACTTGGTAAGTAGCAGCCTGCACCTGGTGACAGACCTCACATCAGAACATGAAAAGGACCATTTGGTTATTTTCTTCTATCTGTGCAACATGGCTTGCTATTTTCCTCTGTTTTCACTCAGAATACTATTAACTGAGTGTTCACATAAACTAAAAGAAAATCCCACACACGGATGTGCAAATATATTCAGCATCTGAATTGAAAAGAAAAAGAAAGTTGTGAGCTTTTTTTGACACATACCCACCCTAGAAAGTACAGTAGCATGACAGGCCCTATCCCAGACTGCTCCATGCCAGCTGCAACTGGATCCACTGGATCTCAACTGCACCTGATGGATCCCAGCTCACCTCTGCATCGGTAATGGCATCAGTAAATGTAGTAAATGGCATCATTTTTCTGCTGGTCTTCAAAATAGAGCTATTCACCTATCCAGTTGTGAGTAAAGACAGGAAAGCCATAATATAATAAACCCTGTTCTGATTCTGACTCTTTTTCTTGCTGCATGATCTTGATTAAGACTTGATTCCCCTACCTCTGCCATCCAGGAGAAGACAAAGGAAAGGAGAAACAAGAGGTTTCCCAGTACAGAGGCTCTAGAGCACAACAATTAGGCAAGTAGACTGACTTCTGGTAAAAAACAGGAAGAACAAATTACTGACATAATGTAATAAATGGCATATATATATGTATATATATATATATATATATATTAGATCTAATCAAGCTGGCATCTCAGAAAACAGAAGCTGTTCAATTCAGTCAAGCACAGCTCTTCAGAGGCTCTGAGAATAGGGGAGCAGAGATTTCAGAAGCAATGTGTGGTCACACAGTCAGTCATTGCTCTGAGTCAGCATTGAGACAAAAGGAAAATAATTTATTTCTCATATGGCAACAGGGTTGCCTTGGAATTGCTCACAGGTATGATCATGTAAGTTTCACCTAATTGATATACTTTCAGGAAAGGAATCACAGAACTAATAATTTCTTATTGGTGTATTTCTTTGAGTTAAAATAATAATAGTGATCTCAGACTTAAAGAGAAGTCTGTCAGAATAAAAGCTACACTACAGTATATGATGCTTCATGAGGATGTACTACTCTCAAAAGCTACAATAATTTCCTTTCTTTAAATAAAAACTTGGAAATTAATCTTGTTCACTGTGGAACTTGTTCACCAATGAACTGTGCCTGGCTTCTTTTCCCAAGGATGAAAGATTCTTCAACAGAGTGCCCAGGTAATCTAATAAAGAGATCTTTCTCTTCAGAAACTCAACTGTCTAACAAAAACACCATGCAAGAGAAAACACCTTCTAACCCATCTCAGCTGCAGAGAAAGGCAGTCTCTAAAGTAACCAAGGACTTGACTATTTGAAGCCAAGGTACCAACACAAGTTTGAACACAGTCTTGCACACATGCTTATTCACACAATTTAATACACACGCGACAGAGGCTCAATCCTTATGCTCCATGAATTTTCACAATTTAAATGTTATGCATTTAGCTCCCCAGAGAAATTTTGAGGCTAGAAAGAAGTACTTATGCTCCCTGAGCATGTCAAGAATTAGAAATCCTGCCTGATGGACAGAAACTGCCCAGAGCTAACCAGTATAAAACACATTAACCAGTATGAAACACCACAGCTACACCTCAAGCAGATGCATCTGATACCTTCTTAGAGTTCAAACCACCAAAGCCTCCTGCTTCCTGGGATCTCTAGCCCACAGACATAGCCCAGAGATGCTATTTTCTTTTTGAAAATTGGTTGAGAGAGTTTTACCATTATATAAGAGTGAAATGGCTTTTGAAGTTGGGAAATGAAGGCTTAGTGGCTGCTCTAGGCAGACAGGCCTCACATAATTCCTTTTCCCAGTACAGTGCCCAAGTTCTTGGTTAGATTTTAGTGTCAGTGACCACCTGGATAAAGGGAGTGATGAAATGGTTCTCCCACCCATTACCTTTATGTTCTGACACTGTTAGTAAGAGTAAGAAGGATAAACTTGTCTTGAATCACGATTTTCTGTGTCATTAGCATAAAGACAGCAAATCCTACCTTCGTATGCAACACAACAGATTTCACCTCAATTTGCAATCTGAAGACCATTTCCACATGTAGCATAAAGCTATGTAGAAATTATGAGAAATACTACAGAAATTATACTATCCAATGGGATAGTAAAATTGCTTCTAAAATATGCATTTATCAGGCATCCAGTGTTGCAAAAACATTTTACCTACTATTGAAAGATGTTTTTTCAGTAAGCTAAACTGGCTCATCTACTTCCTATTAATAAACACACCATGAATACTCCACAGAAAAATTGTTTCACAGACTGCAAGAGATGAAGTTCTGCCTAATCTTTTATGACCTTTATAAAACTTTATTAAATTATGAAGCCACGTAGCTTTTACAGGCTCTAAAGTTTTGCTTGGGAACACTTTAAATACACAAATATGTGCAGCTGTCCCAAGCAGTGCCACCATGGGGACTTAAGACACTGTTAAGACTTTCCAGTCCTGTACCATTTAAAATCAGTAATAAAACTCTAGTCCAAGGTAAAGTCTCAGATAGGAGCTACCCAGCCAGGAGCAAAGTACTCCTTTTAAAGAAAATTACTGACATTTTAGAAATACAACTCTTCCCAATTCCTTGAACTTGTGTTACCCACAAAAGTCCCTAAATATATATATATTCAAACTAGTTTATTGCATGGATAACTTCCTTCAGCATATCAGAAACAGAAATACTAAATCCCTTAGTTCTTCTTTAGTACACTAAGGCCAAGCTGAGAATCATAAGGATCATGGTACTGGCAAAACGGGTCCCTGTCGTGACCAGTAAGAAACAGCAGAAAATTAAGATGCTAAGCAGCCAAATACATTGGATGACAAGCCCAGATAGCTTTGAATTTGCTCAGAACCTGCTTTCTCCTCAGAACTGCAGTCTGGTGGTGAGGAGGTCTGAAGAAGAAATCCTTAAAGGCAAGGAAAAATAAGAAAGGAAAAAGTAGAAGAAATGTCCACCCCATTTTTTCCAAGAAATGCCATCAGTGCCAGGAGGAATCTCCCTCTGATGAGGAACAGGGGGATAGACTACTGATTTTCACAATCCCCTTGAAATCCAAGAGAATCCTGAAAAAATTAATGTATGTCATCTGCCACAGTCTAACCATTTGAAATATTTTGTTTCTCTTTTTGGTAACCCTTGATTTGGAAAAACTTGCAGACCACTATGGATATACATTTTAATGCAATTATTTGAACAAGGCAAATAATTGCCTTGAAACTGTGCACTTTTCTAACATTTTATTATTCCAGTGTAGCTTCATTATATCCCTCCAACAATTGGAGCTCCACAAAATCTTATAAAACAAAGATCTTGCTTCTTTCAGCAGGAAAAAAAAAGATTAAAACCACTCATTTAATGTACAAATTAAAAGGTTTAAAACTAGGAGCTCGAAAGATTTCCTCAGATCTTAGTATAATTTTCAAATCCAAAGTAAAATCCTTTCACACAACTTAGTTGAACAGAGTTCAATTTATTACATTCAATTTAGCAACATTTGTACTTACTGACTGTTCACTTAAATCCTGAGAGTCTTCCATTGAGGTTATTCACCCTTCTTTTCCTCCACAAGCAGAAATTATCTTCCTTTCAATTTACAGCTCAGTAGCCTAAATTAAAAGAGGAGATTAAAAAATTACATGTTAGTCTATGGTCCTCACTTCTAAGGCAAATCTGCAATAAACAAACACTCTAACTGAGGTTGCAGTTTCACTAAAACCTCACACAAAGTTCCCATGTGAACTCTAATTTCATGTAAAGCACTTCAACACCTTCAGTATTATTTTGGGAACTATCTAAAACACACCAATAGAAACAGGAGCTTTTCTTTGTGTCCTTCAAGAGAAAAGTTAGCTCTGAAAACAAACCAATAAAGAAGCAAAAATGTTGAATAAACTGTTTAAGTAGTCAACAAATTATAACCCTTGAGAGAACATCTTAGAAAGACAGTTATAGAAGAGAACTGCTTAATACACATTTAATGATAACCTCTTAGCCATTAAGTGTCTGGCAGAAAAATGGGTTATTATGCAATTATCAGCATGAAGTCCCTTCTCCAAGGTTCATTAAATTCCTTTAGGATTAAACTAGATACACAAAGTGGTTTATAACAAGCAGCTCCCTGCAAAGTGCTAAATGACAGACATTATCCTAATCATCTGCTATGTCTACGCCTTCTCTGATAGGGTGAATCATTCTCATCAAATATGGAGATCTTCAACAGGAAAATTCTATTTTCCAGGAGTTCTGCCTGTGAATGATCATGGTGACACTAACTATACACACGATTATATTACAATCTCCATTCTCAGAAAAGATACATTTTGGAGTCATACAAATTTGCACAATTTAGAAAAAAAAGAAAATGTGACAGGGATATTTCATATATGCAATAATCATACTATTAATCAAAGCTCATGTTACATTAAAAAAAAAAAATCAATGCGTAAACACACATGTTAAGGAACTCAAACATCCTGGGTTTGCTTATCAATACTACATAGATTTGTTTATCAAGAAGGCACCACAAGGAATTACCTGGGACCATGCTCAAAATTAGGACCAGCAAGCACTAATAAACGCAACCAAGCGTAAAACATGTACAGCTGCATTGGCACTTGCAGAATATATGAAAGGAACCAGAGCCATGGAACCTATGTGGAACTCATGGCACTCACATATTCTCACCCACTGTCCTGTATCTCCCTGTGAATACCTCCTCTTTTTATTTCAAGTGCCACTTACTTGCCATGCTTCCACTTACTCCTCAAAATGTAACTCCCAAAAATTCACTTTGCTTTGCATTGGATATTTTCTAGAACACATACAAATGCACAGCCCCAGTCTACTTTGCTTACAAATTTCACCTGGATTTTTCCTGCCACCAAATTACACCCTCCTGTCCTGTGTCTTTCTTCCCTCTTGCCCAAGCTTCAAAATTGTTTTCATTCACATTTCATTAATTTTTGCCATAATGTTACATAAGGAAAAGACAAATTGCAAGAAAATCGTGTTGCATGTATTTCACCACATCATTCAGCTGAAAATAATTCCTGTTTTTCAAAATAGTTTTAATCTCTTCTCAATTTCAGAGTGATCCAAGAGATAGATGTCTTCCCCCACAATGCCTTCACCAAAACTGTAAACACTTCACATTTTTTGGTTAATGTGAAGTCCACACTCCAGTATTTGTAAATATCTTCTCTAGTCTTTGTTCAATGAAGCTAAAAAGGGGAATTGAAGGGCTTATTTAAAACACCCACTACAGGCAAATTTCAGAAAGAAGCCTGCCATGAACAATGGGTATTTTAAGAGAAAGCAGCTCTACATGGCATTGCCCGCACAGTCCCAATCAAAGAAGGCAATTGCAAACACGGAGATGAATTTTTGTGACTGATACTAAAATGTTCCACTAACAACTTAAACATAAAATCTGCTTTGATTTAATTAAAAGTTTGTAGTGTGACCATGTTATTGCACTGGTAAGATTGCCTGCAGAGAAAAATGCAAAATTTGTAACAATTTTTTTGACTAGTTTCTAAGTATACTGACTGAAAAGTCAGTACCTGGCTTGCATTCAAACAATAAATGCTCTGTCAGTTGGTCACTGAAGGTGGAAGATATTTCACGTTCTGTATAAAATTCAACTGTAACTCAACTACAGAACTATATCAGAACAGACAGACCCATGTTTCTTTTCCTACTGATGGATGCTTGATCAAAGCACATGAGATCAACAGATTGATGTCACATTTTTCAAAAAAAAAAACACTCTATCAAAATTTTAAATATATCCTGATGACACAAATCCAATAAGAGCATTACTACTAAGAACTGCCAATGATTCACCCACAGTATGTGTTCCAAAATTCAAGTGGGTGTATTCACTGGAACACATCATTAAATATGCCACTTTTATTAGTCGCCTTCTAAAAAAGACTAACTTTCATGAATTTTCAAAGTCACTTTACTGAATTGCAAGACAAAGACAAGCTTTTTAAAATCTTTGCAGAAACACACAGTATGTTAAATAGATCATTTGCGCAAACATGCTAAATTATAAGTTTCCAGAGCACTGCTGTTGATCTTCACATTGCCTCAAAATTCAGAAGTTCTTACTGGAAATGGAGCTTTTTAAAATAAAATTCAGAAATAATATTTCATCAGTATTATTCTACCTATCAACAGCTAAATCCTGCTGCATTCTGAGCCCAGTTAGAGTGGCTGATTATAACCAACTGCTAACACAAAGATTTTTATAATGGCAGTTATGCCAATTGCACTTAGACCAAATCCTTTAGGGTTTAGTTTTATAAATTTGTAAAAGGGGAGAAAAACCATTAGAGAAGTCAGTGATTTAAATAAGACCAACATTACTCCCTAATAAAGATATAAAATTAAAGGATAATAGTAACCTCGTGCTGTTTTATGAGGCAATAATCCAGTTACCAATTCAACCTTGTAGTTTATTCCATCAAGAGAACCAGATTAAAAACAGAGGGAGGGAGCGCATTCTTATCCCCATTATATTGCAAGTGTTTCTAACTGGGCTTAAATATTTTTAAAACTGTTGTTAAAAGTCTTAAATTCACAGACAAGCCAGAATGAAGAAAAATGCCCGTTTCTCCTCTTTATCCACTCCTTGCAGATGTGGCTTTAAAACTGATGAAGTGTTTTATGCTCCCAGATAAAAATTTTACCTTTCTAAGAAATGTCTTAATTAGGAGGATTCCTGACTTTCCTCATCAACAAATGCATTTAAATCTGATTTTTTATTTATTTGTTTTTATCTGGGGGAATAAAACACTTCATCAAATTTAAACTGCAACTTCCAGGACTTGACCATGAGGAGAAACATGTGTTTCCTTCCAGAGATACACACATAAGTTAAAGAAAATAAACTACTTCAGGATCTGCTGCGCACTGCTTTATAAACGACTGAAAGTGACAATTGCATTTTCTATGGGATGTCTAATATGATCCTGCATGCTGCTGCAACTTCCACAAGCTCAAGACAGAATGTGAAGGTTGGGGACCCCCAGGTAAAAACCAGCCTTAAAGCACTTGACGTTTACCAGGAGTATCCCAGAGGCTGCTTCAGGCCCTCCAGCTGGCCAGACGGGGATATGGATCTCCAAGAAAAATCCATCATCTGGAAGAGGAGTTTGGCCACCAGACCAAAAAATCTGCCCCATCTCACTTGAACACAAAAGCCTGGGAAGAAAGTCCTCTCTCCGGCCACTAGGATTTGGTCTTCTGAAATGAAATTCAGGGGCAGGGGGAGTGTTATCCTCAGTTTCTACCACCTTTTTTTTTTCACATTATAATCATCTTGGGCACATTTTCACATCCTTTTTATTCTGTTTTATCTAAAGAATACCTACTTCTACTGAGATTATATCATGTGATGCTCCCTAGCTCTTCCAATGTTGTATCATGTGATGCTCTGGCAATAGAGTTCAGAAATTTCATGATCCAAAATATACTATATTGTTTTACACATATGACAAATATACTATATTGTTTTACACTTATTGAAACATGGTGGTAACAAGCCCAGTAGAAGGATGCTTCTGTGGTTTACACAATTCATTCAGCCACAAAGAACTCATTTCTTTCACAGCCAAAGGTTGGTAGTCAAAATGTTAAGAGAGAACTGGTCACAAATAGAGCAATTTCTCATTTTCTAGTGCTCTACTTTGTCGCTGCTGAAGATGAATAGATCACACGGACACAGGTCGAGGTGTGGTGAAAAGAAGAGAAAGTTTATTTTTCCCCCCAGGATTTATAGGCTTCTGACCACGGCCAGGGATTGGATGGTCAGGATAACACTTTCTCACTGCACTGGCCATGAGAGATGCCCATCACAAGACGTGTAACAGAAAGAATGTACACTTATCTATGTTTATAGTTACTGTCCTGGGAAAGTCCTTAGAAAACTATGTTAGCAAATTCAAAAGCTGAGTTTTCAGTGTGACACTACTTCAGAAACCTGTGATAGCACTAGTACTTAGTGCTGATTGCTGACACTGAATTGACGCAGGACATGAACCAGTGAGGACACGCTCTAGGGCTCAAATTCTCAGTCTCAGGCAAGTCTCACTTTGGGTTTGCACCACTCCTACAGAACTTCTGAGTAGAATAAAGCACATTGAAGGCACTGTGAAAGATTATGCAGGGCAGGTAATGAGAAAATTGCTTTAGAACCAGAACAAGAAATTAGTGCTTAGCACTGCAATCTCATAAAATTAGATTATTTCATGCTATTTTTTTCCCATTAAACCCCTTTCTTTGAAGGAACAGGGGAAAGGGTATGGGCAATAACAAACAGGTACTGCCTAATATTTAGTAATTTCCTACCTAAGAAAGCATCCTTCTGGTTGTCTGTATGCCCATCACAGGAAGTTTCATGTGAAAAAGATAAAATGTAACCTAAATTAAAAGGAAACGAAATGCTGATTTATCAGCATTTCACCTTGTCAGGGGCATGTACTCTTTCCTGAGGAAAACTGGCAGGCAAACAAAAATATATTCAGAATTTCTAAATTATTTTAATTCCCATATTTTTTCCTCTCTCATTCCAGAAGCATTCTTGATGAAAGCAGAAATG